CATAGTTGAATGTGCTGACAACAAAATCACAGAAAAATTATCAATGGAAATCAAATTTATCAACCCATGGAGGTCTGGATTTGGAGTCACCCTCAAAATTAAAGTGGAAAACCACACTACAGGCTGATCCAACTTTGATATAATGTCCTTAAAACAAGTCAAAATGAGGCTCAGGCCTCCACGTGCCTGTATGACCTCCATACAATGCCTGGGCATGCTCCTGATGAGGTGGCGGATGGTCTCCTGAGGGATCTCCTCCCAGACCTGGACTAAAGCATCCGCCAACTCCTGGACAGTCTGTGGTGCAACCAAATATTAAGTTCTGCTTTTCTGATGTATCAAATACTTATGTCATGCAATAAAATGCAAATTAATTACTAAAAAAGGTACACAGTTGAAGTGTACCTATGATAAAAATTACAGACCTCTACATGATTTGTAAGTAGGAAAACCTGCAAAATCGGCAGTGTATCAAATACTTGTTCTCCCCACATATATACACATTTATTATTATACGGTATTAGAATACTGATCCATCTGAGGAAATAAATGTGTTTTACTTAAGAGTTACTGTAATATAGACAAGTTATTGTAAACTGTATGGCCATTTATCTGGACTACACACTAAGAAAAGAGGGTTCCTCAAGGGTTATACTCCTGAGTGGCGCAGTGGTCTAAGGCACTGCATCGCAGTGCTAACTGTGCCACTACAGATCCTGGTTCGAATCCAGGCTCTGTCGCAGCCGGCCGCGACCGGGAGACTCATGGGCGGCGCACAATTGGCCCAGCGTCGTCCAGGGTAGGGGAGGGAATGGCCGGCAGGGATGTAGCTCAGTTGATAGAGCATGGCGTTTGCAACGCCAGGGTTGTGGGTTCGATTCCCACGGGGGGCCAGTATAAAAAATTAAAAATAAAAGATGTATTCACTAACTGTAAGTCGCTCTGGATAAGAGCGTCTGCTAAATGACTAAAATGTAAATGTAATGGGTTCTTTGGGAAGGGTGATGGTTCTATGTGGAACCATAATGATTCAAAGAACCACTTGAGCCCTTCAATGGTTCTTTGCAGTTCAGAAAAGTGTTCTTTCCCCTTTTAGTGATAATTAAAACGTAGGGGAGGTGGTTCATTAGAATAATTTGGGGCTTGGTTTGCCCACAGCTCTTTTTGTGCAACCATGAGTGAGTGTCATTCCAGTTCATCTAATATGTTGTGTTATGCAATTACATGTTAAACATGACCATTTACGGTGTCTTGTGACAGACTCGCTTATGGCCTTGTGTCAATTGAGAACAGTTAACTATAGTAAATCATTGGTTCTCAATTCTCTCCTCAGGGACCCCCAGCTGTTGCAGGGCAAGCACATCTGCTTCAACTTGTCAATTAACACAATAATAACGCTTTAGGAGTTTTAACAATATAATATGGCCAATCAGAATAAAAAAACCTAAATGGTTCTTCAAAAAGATCTACAAAGAACCTTTGAGATTGATGAAGGTTCTTTATAGAACCATTCTCCATAAAGGTTTTATAAAGAACCATAAAAAAGGGTTCAATATATCCTCCAAAAGGGTTGAAACCATAACAAAACCCTTTTTTGGTACTACAGTGGCTTGCGAAAGGATTCACCCCCCTTGGCATTTTTCCTATTTTGTTGCCTTACAACCAGGAATGAAAATGGACTTTTTGGGGGTTTGTATCATTTGATTTACACAACATGCCTACCACTTTGAAGAAATTATTTTTCTGGTGAAACAAACAAGAAATAAGACAAAAAAAACAGAAAACTTTGTAGAGCCACCTTTTGCAGCAATTACAGCTGCAAGTCTCTTGGGGTATATTACCGTTCAAAAGTTTGGGGTCACTTAGAAATGTCCTTGTTTTTGAAATAAAAGCAATTTTTTGTTCATTAAAATAACATCAAATTGATCAGAAATACAGAGTAGACATTGTTAATGTTGTAAATAGCTATTGTAGCTGGAAACGGCTGATTTTTTATGGAATATCTACATAGGCGTACAGAGGCCCATTATCAGCAACCATCAGTCCTGTGATCCAATGGCACGTTGTGTTTGCTAATCCAAGTTTATCATTTTAAAAGGCTAATTGATCATTAGAAAACCCTTTTGCAATTATGTTAGCACAGCTGAAAACTGTTGTGCTGATTAAAGATGCAATAAAACTGGCCTTCTTGAGACTAGTTGAGTATCTGGAGCATCAGTAATTGTGGGTTCGATTACAGGCTCAAAATGGCTAGAAACAAATAACTTTCTTCTGAAACTCATCAGTCTATTCTTGTTCTGAGAAATGAAGGCTATTCCATGCGAGAAATTGCCAAGAAACTGAAGATCTCGTACAACGCTGTGTACTACTCCCTTCACAGAACAGCGCAAACTGGGTCTAACCAGAATAGAAAGAGGACTGGGAGGTCCTGGTGCACAACTGAGCAAGAGGACTCTGCCTACATTAGAGTGTCTAGTTTGAGAAACAAGTGCCTCACAGGTCCTCAACTGGCAGCTTCATTAAATATTACCCGCAAAACACCAGTCTCAACGTCAACAGTGAAGAGGCGACTCCGGGATGCTGACCTTCTAGGCAGAGTTGCAAAGAAAAAGCCATATCTCAGACTGGCCAATAAAAATAAAAGATTAAGATGGGCAAAAGAACACAGACACTGGACAGAGGAAGATTGGAAAAAAAGTGTTATGGACAGACAAATTGAAATTTGAGGTGTTCGGATCACAAAGAAGAACATTTGTGAGACGCAGACCAAATGAAAAGATGCTGGAGGAGTGATTGATGCCATCTGTAAAGCATGGTGGAGGCAATGTGATGGTCTGGGGGTGCTTTGGTGGTGGTAAAGTGGGAGACTTGTACAGGGTAAAAGGGATCTTGAAGAAGGAAGGCTATCACTCCATTTTGCAACGCCATGCCATACCCTGTGGAAGGCCCTTGATTGGAGCCAATTTCCTCCTACAACAGGACAATGACCCAAAGCACAGCTTTGCAAGAACTATTTAGGGAAGAAGCAGTCAGCTGGTATTCTGTCTATAATGGAGTGACCAGCACAGTCACCGGATCTCAATAGTTATGCACACTCAAGTTCAGTTTTTTTGTCTTATTTCTTTTTTGTTTCACCCCAAAAAGTTTTTTGCATCATCAAAGTGGTAGGCATGTTGTGTAAATCAAATGATACAAACCCCCCAAAAATCCATTTAAATTCCAGGTTGTAAGGCAACAAAATAGGAAAAATGCCAAGGGGGGTGAATACTTTCGCAAGCCTCTGTATATCGACACAACCTGAAATGCCGCTCAGCAAGGAAGAAGCCACTGCTCCAAAACCGCCATAAAAAAGCCAGACTACGGTTTGCAACTGCACACGGGGACAAAGATCGTACTTTTTGGAGAAATGTCCTCTGGTCTGATGAAAATAAATAGAACTGTTTGGCCATAATGACCATCGTTGTGTTTGGAGGAAAAAGGGGGAGGCTTGCAAGCCGAAGAACACCATCCCAATCGTGAAGCACGGGGGTGGCAGCATCATGCTGTGGGGGTGCTTTGCTGCAGGAGGGACTGGTGCACTTCACAAAATAGATGGCATCATAAGGAAGGAAAATTATGTGGATATATTGAAGCAACATCACAAGACATCAGTCAGGAAGTTAAAGCTTGGTCGCAAATGGTCTTCCAAATGGACAATGACCCCAAGCATACTTCCAAAGTTGTGGCAAAATGGCTTAAGGACAACAAAGTCAAGGTATTGGAGTGGCCATCACAAAGCCCTGACCTCAATCCTATAGAAAATGTGTGGGCAGAACTGAAAAAGCGTGTGCGAGCAAGGCCTACAAACCTGACTCAGTTACACCAGCTCTGTCAGGAGGAATGGGCCAAAATTCACCCAACTTATTGTGGAAAGCTTGTGGATGGCTACCCGAAACGTTTGACCCAAGTTAACAGTTTAAAGGCAATGCTACCAAATACTAATCCCACTGGGAAATTGATGAAAGAAATAAAAGCTCGAAGAAATAATTCTCTCTGCTTTTATTCTGACATTTCACATTCTTAAAATAAAGTGGTGATCCTAGCTGACCTAAGACAGGGAATTTTTACTAGGATTAAATGTCAGTAAATGTGAAAAACTGAGTTTAAATGTATTTGGCTAAGGTGTATGTAAACATCCGACTTCAACTGTATGCACGCACCACTTTTCCGTTATAAAATCTTTCACATTTTTTGAAACAAGTAATTTTTTTCATTTCACTTCACCAATTTTGACTATTTTGTGTATGTCCATTACATGAAATCCAAATAAAAATCCATTTAAATTACAGGTTGTAATGCAACAAAATAGGAAAAACGCCAAGGGGGATGAATACTTTGGAAAGCACTGCATATAGAACCTTTTATTAATGGTTCTTTATAGAACCTTAGGAAAGGGTTCTTTATGGCACCATAAAGGTTCCATTTAGAACCTTATGAGCATGGTTCTTTATAGAACCTTTTAAATAAAGTTATATATAGCACCAAAAAGGGATTGTTACAAGTCAAATAACCATTATTTGGCACAATTTATACTTACACAATACTTATTTTCCACCATAATTTGCAAATAAATTCATAAAAAATCCTACAATGTGATTTTCTGGATTTTTTTTCTTCTCATTTTGTCTGTTATAGTTGACATTTACCTATGATGAAAATTACAGGCCTCTCTCATCTTTTTAAGTGGGAGAACTTGCACAATTGGTGGCTGACTAAATACTTTTTCCCCCCCACTGTATATATAAAAGGTTTGTGTACCCGATGACTCATACATACAATGAATACATGTACTATTCCAGACCAATGAACCCTATGTGTGGTAATCTCAAAATATGTGCGAGTCATTGGGTACATTGGGTTTGAGAGCGGAGCAGAAGACACATTTCGGATGTAACCGGTGGACAAATATAGTTGTTATTGTATCTTATCGTATCATATTGGAATCGCTGCTAAAAATATAAATGTGTGACTCCAATAGCAGATTGAGTGGAAGGTTTAGCAGCAACAGGAGTTTCAGACCACCACCACCAGCACCACCCAGACAGCCAGACATGCGCCGGGGCATGGACAGCATCAGCAGTTGTTTGGGGGGCTCTGAGGGGGCAGAGAGCAGGTACGAGACGCCCCCAGCCTCAGAGCTCCAGAGGCTGATGTGGACCAAACCAGGGACCAGTGACCATATGGATGAGGTTCAGCCCAGGATCTACATAGGAGACATGTAAGAGAACTCACCCTCAATATAATAGGCTATACTGTATACTATAAGTGCCACTTAGCAGATGCTTGAGTTCATAAATTTTTTGTAAGTATATGTGATATTTTTTAATCACATAGACTGAAGCTTGTCCCTTATTAACAATGTATGCAGTTTTGACTAGCCCACACTGTAAAACATTTCCTGTAAAATGTGCCGTAACTTACTGGCAGCAATTGGCCAGTAAATTACTGTATTTTATTTTACACTACAGCTACGGTTATCCACTTTACAGTAACAAAAATGTCACTGTAATCTAATATACAGTACTCATCACAATTACTGTATATTACTGTAATTACCCAGTGACATATTACCCAGTGTTTTTTGCAAGTTTTCATTTTTCCATTTACATTTTGGTAATTTAGCGAGCACCACTTGTCCTTAGCAACTTAGTCAGTGCATTCAACCAAAGTTGATTAAAAAAACACATATCACATTCATAGTAAGTTAAACATTTCTGTAACCGTTATTGAAGATGTTGTTGTAGTTAAGGATACATTGGTCTTAAACATTTATGTAATTACAACAAGATATCTTATGATACAGTATGTCTCTATCTCTGGATAGTGCCAACACAGTACTGAAATATTCACGGTAACTTGATGCCAGCTTCCTGTAAATTACTATAATGTCAAAGCAATGAAACGCAGTACAATACTGTAAAAGTGATGAATACTAGGTGTTTTATATCACTTGCACTTCTAGAGGTCTAAATGGACATGGTTAAATATTGAAACATTAAAGGTTTAAGACATGCTACTACTCTGATCTGTTCCCTATATACATTTAATTGTTAAGGAACTACTACCACATGTCACAGGCACTCCTTAAAATATGTTAATGAGCCAGACTCTTTCCCCGCAACAACATTTTCCAACAATGCACCATATTAAATTCTGTAAAACACATTTAAGGATATTTTACTGTGCATTCTACAGTGTTTTACTGTTGAAATTACAGAAGTCTTGCAGTGCAGTAGTGACATCTACTGTCACAAGGTCGTGGATTCAATTCCTGCCATGACTGTAAGACACATCGATATAAGTGTCTGCTAAGATGTGATGTGATTCGAGGGGACATGGTTTGAACCAGAGATTAAAATACCCTGGTAACGCTTTACTTATGACTCTTTATGTCATGCATATACAGGCTTAATGAATGCTTTATGAACGCTACATATCACCACTAAGTGTTCATAATCAACCAGACATGCCTTTAGAACAACGTCTTAAGACATCTCAAGACAGACACAGGTGATGGCTGGGTATTAGCAATACCACTTACATGGTCTTGTGTGTTGTTAGGTATGCAGCCAAAGACAAGAGGACACTCCAGACTCATCACATCACCCACGTCTTGAACGCAGCGGATGGGAAGTTTAATGTGAACACAGGTGCCAGCTACTACAGGGACACTAGAATCTCCTACCATGGAGTGGAGGCATTCGACATGCCCTCCTTTGACCTCAGCATCTTCTTCTATTCTGCAGCCAAATTCATCAAGTCCGCCCTGAGCTCGCCCAACGGTAAGCAATCAATCAACCAGTCAATTAATCAATCAATTTTATAAAGCCCTTTTTACATGATCAGTTGTCACAAAGTACTTTACAGCTACCCGACCTAAGGATCTTTTTACCATGCAGAGAGCATCATCTCTAAATGTATATTCTGTGCATGTTTTTTTCTCTGTATCATTTTCTCTAAAATTACCTTTGAAATTACATTGTTTGTGAATGAATTATATTCAAACATCATTAGTCTGTCAGTTCTAACACAATGCAGCAATCCTCCCTTCCATTCCATTAGCAGTTAAAATGCAAATCACAAAGCTGCAAAAACATAATATCAAGCTAATATCGTACCCCACAGTAATCTCCTCATAAGCTGGTGACCTTGGACAAGAATATTGGTTTTAAATAGATTTCCCTGGTAATTTGTAAGCAACACTTTCATTGGACATGGAAATTACAAAATTATGTTTGTGGACTTGTGCTTTAGCAGAGCTGCTACTTCCTGTCCTCGTTATGCAGAGTGCATCCGGTATCTGACTTGACAGTAATAAGATGATGGGAGCGTTCCAAATGGCACCCTATAGCCTATTCCCATTCCCTATGGGCCCCGGTCAAAAGTAGTGTAGTATGTCGGGAATAAGTTGCTATTTGGGACGTAGACAATGCCTCCGCTCCCCTCCTCCACATGCTGACTGACTGGTTGATCGGACTAGCCCTCCAGTGTGTAGTGGGGCCTACAGTAATCCCTAGCAGAAACACACAGCCTGGAAGACAGTTCAATTACCCGCACCCATGGGCCCTAAGCCCCAAAGCAGGATAAGAAACCACGGATTACCATGTGTAGAAACATTTGTTGCAACATTGTTGAAAGAAAACTTTTGGGAGGTAGTCTATTTAGAAATATCTCCATTTTTATATTAAGCCTACAGGTCTGTAAGGCTGTTTGACACAAATTACACAATATGAAATAAACAACAAGTAATCTATGAGGTGTTCTTCTACTAAATGGGATATGGTACATGTTGCCAGGGGGATTTGGGTGAGCCAAGACATCACTTAGGTAAACAAAATAGATACAGTAGGTACGGAATTGAAGTACTGTATGTAAATACATTTTACACATGATGGAATTACCTATGTACCTGTGTCCTTCTTCTTCAACTGAATGAGAGCTAAGCATGTAGCCTTTCTTCCCTGGCAGGTAAGGTGTTGGTCCACTGCGCCATGGGTCTGAGTCGCTCGTCCTCTCTGGTCCTGGCCTACCTGATGATCGATGAGAACCTGTCCCTGGTGGATGCCATCAAGGCTGTGGCTGCCAACAGAAACATCTGTCCCAACGCTGGATTCCTGGAGCAGCTCCGAGACCTGGACAAACAACTCCACTACCAGGCTAGATGACAATGAAAACACATTTTTTGATGAGACATAGATGGGGGACAACTGTGCAGACACTATACTCATACTGTAGATGGTTTTATTATTTTGTATAAATTCCGACGTGTCAGAAATAAATCCCTTGCTAATGTGATCAACACATTCAACTTTTATCATTCAAAGACTTGTGATATTTGTTGCTTCACAATAATGAGTACAAACTGAAACAAACAAGTGTACCTACAGAGACAACGCACAAAACCACAAAAGTAAGTTAATAAAACACGAATTCATTAGAACCAATGTTCTTCTTTTTACAACAAACCAACATTAGAAATGACAGATTGCGATGAACACCAAATGCTAATGACGACAGTCTGAAGAACAGGTCCTCTAATTCGCTTCAATTAGCAGAATCACATCTGGAGGGGTACTATGGTGCAGTTCTGTTCTCTCCACCACCTGCTGTTGCCCTGGCCTCCAACACGGTTCTTGTCACCAGAGCGAAACCTAGCCCAGAACCACCCACCCTGCCTGGGCCAAGGGATTCTCAGCTTCTCCCAATCACTGGATGTCTGAGCCAACTGTACCATCTGGATACATCCTTGACTCTGGAGAGAATGGGGAAATGAATAATGACTCATGGTATAATTGTGAAAGACTATTGTTGTATGACATCACAGAATCTCTTGTCTCTAATACCACAACACTAACGTGCTATATTATTATATTCTTCTACTTCTATTTTTGCTTGATAGAAATACATCTATACAGACCGATGGAGACTAATAGACGGAACAACATGTAGGTTATATTGATGTGTCTGCATACCTTTATAAATAAATAACGTTACACTTATTCAGTCACTTCCTGTCTATCAAAAATGTTTCTAAACTGCTGAAATCTACCACTGAAGCTGTTAAAATGTGATGTCTTAAAGTAAGAGGGTTGATTTACTATGACAGAAATATGCCAACTGTGGTTCATAAAAGAGATGAAACAAGATGAAAAGAGATGGAGCCATCTTAAGAGATGCTTGTACTCCAGAGCATCGCACTGTAGAGAAGAGAGACGCTCGCTGTCATAATAAAATAAACATCCCAGGTCTAATGATTTCACTGTCAGAACGAATGATGCCAGAGCATGAAGATGTGAAGGGGAGAAGAGAGGAGCTTGATGGTGTAAAACTGAAATTTGACATGTAAAAAGGCTTTGTTCAACTCCTTTCCACACTGCAATCATCATCATTACTTTTGGACTTCTGTTGTGTGGCTCGCATTGAGGAGCCTTTAAAATATCAGCGAAAGTAACACGCATCACGCATATCATCATACAACTGAGAACTCAAGACGTGTACCATTTTATCATCCTTTCCCCATCTTATCCCTTGACATATTTCAATGACATTTCTTCCTAGAAACACCCATCAAAGTTACATATTTCTTTGACTATATGACTTTAAGTATAGGCCTACTCCTTCTTATAGAATGACGAACAAAATCCCACGGCCCTCTCTTTAAGACTGTGATATGTAAACTGACAGAATTCCAAGGAATCATTCTTATGCTTGAACAGGTGCTTGGCATACCCCGTTCACTGGAGTGAATATGGGATATATCGTTTGGCAAAGGAAGGATAAGCACAGCACGGCTTCCTTCTGCCAGCAGCAGAGATTAAAGTTCCCAGCTCTGTTTAGGAGTAGATGTCTGCATCTGAAATGGCACCCTATTCCCTATATAGTGCACTACTTTTGACTAGAGCCTGCATTGGGGACTCTGGGGGCTCTCGTTCAAAAATACAGCACAATAGGGGATAGGATGCCATTTTGGACGCAACCTATGACTGAGGAGGTTTTTCCCTACAGGCAAGTTACTCAGCCGCTAAGGCTAAGGTCAGGGGGCCTTGCTTCCACTTCAGAGCACTAAAAATATCCTCTAAATTTGATGCCTGTCCAGTTATACAATCTGTGCCCCCGACCGACTCCACTCGTCAGGCTCCCAGAATTAAACTTCAAGCACTGGGTTCTATTGGTTTCCTCCAACTGTTTGACAACATTTTACCACATTTGACAACAGGAAACACACATAAGGCTACACTCTAAAAGGCTACACTCGAAGAACACCATCCCAACCGTACAGTAGAGGACTTCAATTAAATCTCTTGGTATGTTGTTCTTTGACCAGAATTATAATTCTAACTGTTGCCAGTGCATGTTAGGGATTTAAATAATGCCTAAAATGCACATTAACAGAAATGTGCCATAGATACCTGTCTTACGACATTGTCTTTGTGGCACGTTAGAAGGAAATAGCTCCAAATCAAAACTTTATTTTATATTTTTAAGGGAATGGATCCTGTGTGAAAGCAGGAAGCTATTGTGATAAACATGGCGTCTCACAGCTCCAAGAGGTGTGCAACTGTGAAGAAAAAGTTTGTTCCTAAGACGAAGCCACCTGAACCTGTGGTGGAATACGTCACACCTGGAGGCTATGAGCTGGAGAAGATCCTTAACCGTGACTGCATGGAGTACACTCACATCAACCAGGTCTGGCCCAATGTCTGGATTGGAGACGAGTAAGTGAGGCAGTCTGTGTTCTGTAAGAGATCAAATTCAACATAAAGTAGCATTATTTACCTAGCTTGAGTGCCAGGCAGTCTGTTCGTTCTATAATGCCAACGCCTTGTCATGTAAAATGTTTGGCTTGATATTTCCCTAAGGAGTTGGCAAGAGACCAGAAACCATAGATATAGGACCTATATACAGTATATTGTCTATGGCCAGCAAGGCTATTATTTACCTTAAGTGTTATATCTGTTCAGTATTCTCAAGTATTATAACTGAGTATTACTGCATTATATACAGAATTATAACAGTTACCTACTGTCTGATGTATTAACTGTTTGAGTACACTCTTTGTCTCCTACCTGCAGTACAGGTCCCTGCATCCTTAGCCAGGTCCCCAGTCTGTTTGTGCTCTTGCCAATTCCATTTGATCATTATAAACAAACCATTTGGTATGACAATGAGTGACTGACAAGGAGTTAGCATGATAGCACAAACTGACTGGCACTCAGGCTAGTAAATCCTTACATTGACAGAGAGAGTGCCAAAGACAAATACAACCTGAAGAAATTGGGCATGACCCACATCCTGAACGCAGCAGAGGGGACGTGGAACAATGTGGACACGGGAGCGGAGTTCTACAGCGACATGGACGTGGTCTACCATGGGGTCGTCGCAGAGGATACTCCAACCTTTGACCTTAGCCAGTACTTCTTTCCTACAGCCCAGTTCATCGACCAAACACTCAACATACCTGAGAGTAAGTTAGTCTTAGTTTGGGTGACATTTTATTAACTTTAATGAATAAGAAATTATACAGTTGAAGTCGGAAGTTTACATACACTTAGGTTGGAGTCATTACAACTCATGGGAAAATCAAAAGAAATCAGCCAAGACCTCAGAAAAACAATTGTAGACCTCCACAAGTCTGGTTCATCCTTGGGAGCAATTTCCAAACGCCTGAAGGTACCACGTTCATCTGTACAAACAATAGTACGCAAGTATAAACACCATGGGACCACGCAGCCGTCATACCGCTCAGGAAGGAGACGCGTTCTGTCTCCTAGAGATGAACGTACTTTGGTGCGAAAGTGCAAATCAATCCCAGAACAACAGCAAAGGACATTGTGAAGATGCTGGAGGAAACAGGTACAAAAGTATCTATATCCACAGTAAAACGAGTCCTATATCGACATAACCTGAAAGGCCACTCAGCAAGGAAGAAGCCACATAAAAAAGCCAGACTACGGTTTGCAACTGCACATGGGGACAAAGATTGTGGTTTTTGGAGAAATGTCCTCTGGTCTGATGAAACAAAAATAGAACTGTTTGGCCATAATGACCATCGTTATGTTTGGAGGAAAAAGGGGGTCCCTTGCAAGCCGAAGAACACCATCCCAACCGTGAAGCACGGGGGTGGCAGCATCATGCTGTGGGAGGGACTGGTGCACTTCACAAAATAGATGGCATCATGAGGAAGGAAAATTATGTGGATATATTGAAGCAACATCTCAAGGCATCAGTCAGGAAGTTAAAGCTTGGTCGCAAATGGGTCTTCCAAATGGACAATGACCCCAAGCATACTTCCAAAGTTGTGGCAAAATGCCTTAAGGACAACAAAGTCAAGGTATTGGAATGGCCATCACAAAGCCCTGACCTCAATCCTATAGAAAATGTGTGGGCAGAACTGAAAAAGCGTGTGTGAGCAAGGAGGCCTACAAACCTGACTCAGTTACAGCAGTTTTGTCAGGAGGAATGGGCCAAAATTCACCCAACTTATTGTGGGAAGCTTGTGGAAGGCCACCCGAAACGTTTGACCCAAGTTAAACAATTTAAAGGCAATGCTACCAAATACTAATTGAGTGTATGTCAATTTCTGACCCAATGGGAATGTGATGAAATAAATAAAAGCTGAAATAAATCATTCTCTACTATTATTCAGACATTTCACATTCTTAAAATAAAGTGGTGATCCTAACTGACGTAAGAAAGGGAATTTTTACTAGGATTAAATGTCAGGAATTGTGAAAAACTGAGTTTAAATGTATTTGGCTAAGGCGTATGTAAACTTCCTTTTTCAACTGTAAGTGCTTATAATTTCTTTATAAAGCATTGTTATAAATGCCTATGAATGGCAAAGCTTATAAATACTTTGAAATGTTTATAAATGTTTACAAAAAATGTAAGGTTATTAATGCTTATTCATTCAAGTAATTATACAGGGGTACCGTTCTATTCTAATAACAAACACCTCTTCTTCCAGTCATGTTTTTCTATGCGTTTCCATGTAGATAAGCTGCTGGTGCACTGTGTGATGGGGAGAAGTCGGTCAGCCACCCTGTTCCTGGCCTACCTGATGATCTGTAAGAACATGACGGTAGTGGACGCCGTGGACCACGTGAAGCGACGCAGGCGTATCATCCCCAACTGGGGCTTCCTGAAACAGCTCCGGCAGCTGGACACCTACCTCTTAGAACAGAGGAACGGAGTGACGACTGACGAGGGAAAAGGAGGAGAAGAAAACGACAAGGAAAGAGAGGAGGATGAAAAGAAGGATAAAATGTGATCGATGCACCCTGAGAAAAGGGACATGTATTTCATTTAGATCATTTGGTTCCACAAGAAATGTGTACAGTGAAAAAATTGTCTAACAAGTAGGTTTCCTAGTACTTCAAAAATACTGTACTCCAATTGTACTTCAAATTTAAAAGAGTTAAAGTGGAAATCCACAGTTCAAACAATAACAATAACAAAGCAACCATCCCACCACTTGTTTTGGTAAACCGCTAAGGGATGGGGCCCGAGAAATGTTAACACTCAAATTCATAGACAATAGCTACAGATCTGCTATCTTAATTTGATCACTTTGTCGTAGATAATTTTCTTGCGCAGCAGGAAATGCTAATTGTAAAGGCATCCAAAGTTAGTAATTTACACTTGAACATTTCAGACTTAAATTTTCCCTAATGAAAAATATATCAACCACTACAAAAATGGCCATTAATTATAATCCACATTTCCTGTTGCTGCAGGATTCTTTTCCTGTTGTGAGAAGCAGGGTCAGATGAAGATCTTGCATCCATACATTTACACTGACAGACCATCCATGAGATCTAAACTAGTTTTAACCATGTTTGTAAGCTATACAGTGTTTGTTTACATTGGCTTTATTTACAAACATTTGGAGTAAAACAAGCTTATATTTTGGGTTGTGATGGGGTACGACAGTTGAACTGACAGTTGAACTAAGGTCATGAGGCATTTAAAAGTTATATTATTCAATAATCCATGGCTATACAGTGCCTTGCAAATGTATTCATCCCCCTTGGCGTTTTTCCTATTTTGTTGCATTACAACCTGTAATTTAAATGGATTTTTATTTGGATGTCATGTAATGGACATACACAAAATAGTCCAAATTGGTGAAGTGAAATAAAAAAAAAATAACTTGTTTCAAAAAACTCTAAAAAATGTATAACCGAAAAGTGGTGTGTGCATATGTATTCACCCCCTTTGCTATGAAGCCCCTAAATAACATCTGGTGCAACCAATTACCTTCAGAATTCACATAATAAGTTAAATAAAGTCCACCTGTGTGCAATCTAAGTGTCACATGATCTGTCACATGATCTCAGTATATATACACCTGTTCTGAAAGGCCCCAGAGTCTGCAACACCACTAAGAAAGGGGCACCACCAAGCAAGCGGCACCATGAAGACCAAGGAGCTCTCCAAACAGGTCAGGGACAAAGTTGTGGAGAAGTACAGATCAGGGTTAGGTTATAAAAAAATATCAGGAACTTTGAACATCCCACGGAGCACCATTTAATCCATTATTTAAAAAATTGAAAGAATATGGCACCACAAAAAACCTGCCAAGAGAGGGCCGCCCACCAAAACTCACAGACCAGGCAAGGAGGGCATTCATCAGAGGCAACAAAGAGACCAAAGATAACCCTGAAGTAGCTGCAAAGCTCCACAGCTGAGATTGGAGTATCTGTCCATAGGACCACTTTAAGCCGTACACTCCATAGAGCTGGGCTTTACGGAAGAGTGGCCAGAAAAAAGCCATTGCTTAAAGAAAAAAATAAGCAAACACGTTTGGTGTTCACCAAAAGCCATGTGGGAGACTCCCCAAACATATGGAAGAAGGTACTCTGGTCAGATGAGACTAAAATTTAGCTTTTTGGCCATCAAGGAAAACGCTATGTCTGGCGCAAACCCAACACCTCTCATCACCCCGAGAACACCATCCCCACAGTGAAGCATGGTGGTGGCAGCATCATGCTGTGGGGATGTTTTTCATCGGCAGGGACTGGGAAACTGGTCAGAATTGAAGGAATGATGGGTGGCGCTAAATACAGGGAAATTCTTGAGGGAAACCTGTTTCAGTCTTCCAGAGATTTGAGACTGCGATGGAGGTTCACCTTCTAGCAGGACAATGACCCTAAGCATACAGCTAAAGCAACACTTGAGTGGTTTAAGGGGAAACATTTAAATGTCTTGGAATGGCCTAGTCAAAGTCCAGACCTCAATCCAATTGAGAATCTGTTGTAAGACTTAAAGATTGCTGTACACCAGCGGAACCCATCCAACTTGAAGGAGCTGGAGCAGTTTTGCCTTGAAGAATGGCCAAAAATCCCAGTGGCTAGATGTGCCAAGCTTATAGAGACATACCCCATGAGACTTGCAGCTGTAATTGTTGCAAATGGTGGCTCTACAAAGTATTGACTTTGGGAGGGGGTGAATAGTTATGCACACTCAAGTTTTGTTTTTTTGCCTTATTTCTTGTTTGTTTCACAAAAAAATTATTTTGCATCTTCAAAGTGGTAGGCATGTTGTGTAAATCAAATGATACAAACCCCCCCAAAATCCATTTAAATTCCAGGTTGTAAGGCAACAAAATAGGAAAAATGCCAAGGGGGGTGAATACTTTCGCAAGCCACTGTACATCATCACACAGTCCAAAAATGTATGTATCAACTGCAGACTGCCCCTTTAAACTAAATGCTGAAGTTTTATAAAGAGGACATTGCCTTGGCTTAGAGGTCTGTCATTTAACATTTTGAACTTCAAAACTCCCAATTAATCTGACGTTAAGTCAGTTGTAAGTCAATGGAGTAGAATAGTGTGCATGGTCAATCCTAATTTATTTTATGCTAAAATGTACAGCATTTTTAAAGTGTCTGAAAAAAGGAGAAAGTCATCAATAAAAGACTGCTTGTTTGTGCACATAGCCAGGTCTTCCCATGTAACTGACCCTACCAGCCATTCTTTACAGGTAGAAAGGCTACAAAAGAGCAATATAGACAAAAACACAAGTTGCTTTTTACATGCAATCCGTTAGCTGAGTTTGGTCTATTCACATCCTCTAGTCCTACACTTCGTAAAATATAAATCCAACATTTTATAAAGATAGAAAACAAATCTACAGATGGAATGAAAATGTAGTTTTTTTAAAGGCATTATGTAAAATATTGACTTTGGACTAAATGTATATTTCTTTATTATTAATAATCATCATCATTATAATCATTTAGTTGTTTTTTTAAATTCCGCCACATTTCTCGACATTGGTACACCTCTGAAATGTTTTAAAATCAGAGTCAGGGTACAAACACTGAGATATGCTTAGTTATCTGGACAGAAATCAGTCTTCTGCATTATAAAACAGAAAGCTGCCTCAAGGAAATCTGTTACAAAAGACTTCAGAATTATACATACATACATAGCAATAAAACCTCTCAAACATACAGAAGAACAGGACTAAAGAAGTTTACACTTTTTTTTACATTATTAGAATTAACAAAATATAGTTTCTTCTTTCTCCCTGTGAGAGGGGGAACCTAATAAAGGCCAAAATATATTTAGAATGGCTTGCTATTAAGCACAACACTTGTACAGTACTACTCAATGCACTGTTACTAACGGAGACTGGAGACCGAAGCATGCTTTACAAAATAAGTACAATAATTTAAATATACAAAGGCATGAGTATAGTACAAACTAATTGTCAGCACTGTTAGACAGGTACACTGAACAGGTTCTAGGAATATCCACTTGTTTAAGTCTGTTTGTAGCAGGCACATTAGATGGCTTAGTTTGAGGCTGCTACATAACTACACTCACTCTCTGTGATGAACTCTCTCCCCAGTCTCCCCCTCCCTCCGGAGTGACCAGGGAGACTAATACTAATGAAATACATTTTCATCTTTATGACGTAAGGCTTAGGAACTAAATGAACACAAATCTGTTAGGAACAAAAATACTTTGACATAGATAGTAGCATGTTGTAAAAAGTTTGCTTGTTGATGAAACTTTTTGCATTCTTTCCAAGTGCTGGTTTTTAAGTAACTATAAACAATGAAAAACAAAGAAACAAACATTATCAACAACAAACAAACAAAGGCCAAATTTGTGCATTTGGAACTCATAGTAATAATAATACACATTTGTGTGATTTAAACATCCAGTCAGATTGATTACATTTGTTTGTCATTAGTTACGGTTTCATTAACTGTTACTTAACGGTTAGGTTAGTAACCGTGGGTTACCGTCTGATGAAAGGCCCTTTGAGTGTCTGCTTGGACATGGGTCCGGTGTTGGTCATGTATCCGTGTTGACCAGTTGAAGAGTACATCATGCTGCCGTGCGGCGGAGCCTGCATGGGTTGCTGGGGGTATGGCTGTGTTCCCATCATGCCCATCTGCATAGAAGCGTACTGGGCCCCGGGCGACTGGTTCATGTAGGCCGCCGCCATCTGATGACCCGACATCTGGTTGCCGTGGTAACCACCATTGGCCGCCATCATGGCTGCCCCCTGGGTGGTGACGTGGTAGCCGTTCATGGCGTGGTTTATGGCGGCGGCGGCGGGCATGTTCATGGAGTTGACACTAACAGCATGGTTGTAGGGATTGCCAGGGGCTGGCATGATGTTGACCGTGCCCATGTTCATGCCCCTTGGCATGGCTGCCAGCGTCCGGGACGAGGGGGCCTGCATGGTGACTGTCTGGGGGGCCCCGCGGGTGTGGCTGTACATCTGCTGCTGGTGCTGGTGGTGGGGGTGGGAGGAGAGACCAGAGGCAGCTGACTTGGAGCGCATGGCAATGTGTGTGGGGCCCTTGGGTCCCACGGGGGCCATCTGAGCCTGTAGAGTCCTCTGGGAGGTGGGGATGTTGGAGATGCCCATGGCGTTGCGCTGCAGCATCATCTGAGGGGAGCTAAGGGGGTGGGAAGAGGTCGGAGGGGGGGTCATGGTGGCCTGCACCTGGACCTGGGGGCCCCCGGGGTGAGGAGAGACCCCGTGGGGGCGAGGGTTGCCGGGGTGGGGGGACTGGGACAGAGACACCAGGCCAGAGTGCTGCGAGTGCGATGACAGGGAGGTACTGTTTGCATAGGATGTGATAGGGTGGGAATGGGAGGCTGAGTGGTTGAAAGGCAGAGAGTGAGGGTGGTCTATGAGGGTGTTGGTCAGCTGCTGCAGTTTGGCCAGGCTGAAGGTGGCCGAGGGCTGGGAGTAATGACCGCTGCCATAGCCCTCCTGGTTCATCCTCTCATAGATGCTGCTCAGGTTGGGGTTGCCTGACTCGGGGATGTCAGCTAGCTGAATGGGTGCCGTGAAGTTGGTGGCTATGCCGCACTGTGTCATGGCCTGTTGCTGACTGTGGCTGTGTTGATTATGAAGGCTGTGTTGACTGTGTTGATTGTGAAGGCTGTGTTGACTGTGTTGATTGTGAAGGGTGTGTTGACCGTGTTGATTGTGAAGGCTGTGTTGACCGTGTTGATTGTGAAGGCTGTGTTGACCGTGTTGATTGTGAAGGCTGTGTTGACCGTGTTGATTGTGAAGGCTGTGTTGACCGTGTTGATTGTGAAGGCTGTGTTGATTGTGATGTACACTATGTGGCTGACTGTGTGCAGGGTGTGTGTGTGGGTTGAGTTGTGTTATCTGGCTGTGTTGATTGTGTGGAGTGCCGGGAGGCTGATTGAGTTGCGGATGCTGATTGTGTGGAGTGATAGTGAGCCTAGTATGGCCATGGGGATTGTGTGTGATTGTATGACTGTGACTGTGCTGAGTCCTCTGACTGTGTTGACCATTGCTCGGTGGTCTCTCCACCACCACACAGCCCTGTGGTGACTTGACGTTGCAGTGCTGCGGGGAGCTCAGGCTATTCTGCTGAATCATGCCACAGCTTCCAGGGTTGACGCCCCCCATTTGCTGGCTGACAGAACAGCTGCTCTGCACCAGGCCGCTGGGGGGGAGGGGGCCGTAGGAGCAGCTGTTCTGAGAGGGGCCCCCAGGTCCGCCCGGACCCCCGGCCCCGCCACAGATGCTGCCCCCCAGCGTGGAGTCGTAGGAGCTGGGGTTCTCATAGTTCTCTGTGGTGCTCTCGATGGAGCCCAGGTCGCTGAAGCCGCTGTCCACCACCTGCTGGGACGAGTGGTCCGACACCGACGGCACGTCCATCATGGGGCTGGTCTCCATGTTGTGGAGGGAGGATGGGACCGAGATGGAGGCTCCGCCGCTGGAGGCGTGGTCAGGGCTGATTTGGGTGTAACCTCCTCCTCCACTGCTGCTACCTCCACTACTCTCCAGGATGGACACAGCCGGGCTGCTGACGGAGCGCACCGACTGGCTGGGGTGGGAGTGGGCCGAGGACAGGGGGCTGCTGTGGTCCGACTGGGGGCAGCCTTCGTCCAGCGAGGTTAGGGTGTGATGGGGGCTATGGGGGGCCATGGGGTGGGTCTGCAGGTTGTGGCTCACCTCCTGTTCGAACCCCGAGCTGGAGTTGTCCTGCGGTGTCTCTGTGTCGCGCTCCGTCTCCTGGGTGAGGCTCTGCACAGCCTGGGCCGTCTCCTTGTCCACCTCAGGATCTGTCTCCTCCTCTCGGTCCTCCTCTCGGTCCTCCTCTCGGTCCTCCTCTCGGTCTCTCAGCGCAGCAGCAGGACTCAGCGCAGCAAGTCTCTCTCCATCCCTCTCTGTCTGCTGGGGCTGGCGTCGAGCCTCCTGACTGCTACTCTCCTCTGACTCGGAGTCAACGGGGTGGTTAGTGTCTACTGCTGCTGCGTTTGGTGCCTGTTCCTGGATACCATCTCTTCTCTCGTCTCCAGTGTTGGCCGGCTGTTCCTCCTCTCGCCTATGGGCCATCCCTTCAGACCCCTCCTCCTGACGTCGTTCAGAATCCTTATCGTTGTCATTTGGATCTAAAAACGTTGAGGTGGTGTAGGACTCCGCTTTAGGAGGCTGTTGACAAGGCTCTGGATCCTGCTGCCTCTCCACTTTCTCTGGCTCTGCCGTCGACTCGATGCGACTCTCGTCTTCATCGTCCGCATCCAGGTGAGTGGCCTCTTCGTCCTCATCCTCCTCAGTGCTGTGTTCCAGCTGTTTGGATGGAGATGGAGCGGGGGAGTCCCCGTGCTCAGTGTCCTGTGGGTCCTCCTCCGGTGGCTCGTCACGACTGGGGGATCCGGCGGGAGAACACACAGCGGAGCCAACAGGAGAGAAGACAGGGGTGCTAGCTCTAGAGGCCATAAGGGAGGCTACTGGAGAATAGGCCATGGGAGAAGCCACAGGAGACACCCCAGGGGAGCTCAGTTTACTAGGGCTTTCTTCCTCCATGGGACTGTGGGGCTCTGAGGGCAGGAGCTTGTCCATCTCTGTGTCCCGACCGGCCAGGTCTCTGCCGGGCTCTGAACCCTCCTCCGTGATGGTCGAGGCCTTGTCCTGGTCCTCCGGCTCCTCCTTGGGCTCCTCGGCCTGGATGTGGGGCTCCTCGGCCTCCAGCGGAGTCTCGGGGGGAGTGTACAGGTTCAGCTTGAAGCCCATCTTCCTCTCCTTCTTCAGACGCCATTTTGGAGGCCCCCGTTTCACTCCTTTGGGCCAGCCCTTCTTGCGCTTAATCGCTCGAGGCCTGCCCGGTTTCTTTGACAGCACACCGGCTACTAGAAAGTAGAAAGAGAAAAGATCATCAGTGATTTGACCAAATTGGTGATGTGATGTTCAGATTTAAAGGATGTATGCTGTCGGTTATAACTTACAACTTAAAATAATACAGCTTCTTAAAAACATCAAGGATTTAGTTACCTTCATTCCAGTGTTCACGATTGTCTCTGTCCATGTTTTTCTCCAGCCGCGGACGACCTCTGCGTCTCTTCACTGGTTTCCTCAGCCCCTCCTCCTCCTCTACCTCCATCTCTCCCACCCTGCAGGTCCTCTCCAGCAGGGGCATGGGCCTCTCGTCCTCAGAGTTGTCAAACGGTTCATTCAGAACCTCTGTCGTCTCCGAGATGGTCTCTGTCGTCACACTGCTATTAATCCTTTGCCTCTTGCGACCTCTCTTCTTGAGCACGACAGCTCTCTCAGCTCTCTCTCTCTGGACACAAACACAGATCAAATGTTAAACTTTAGGGCCGTTTTCTCGGACACAGATTAAGCTTAGTCCTGGACTAAAAACGTACTTTTCATTTCTGAGCACAACTGCTCTCCAAGACAGACAAAACAGATTAAAAAAAAGAAAAAAAAAGGTTAAAATAAACATAATACTTCCTCTCTAAACTCTTTCTGCAGTTTAATAGCTACAGAGAGAGACACTCAAGGCTCTGGTTAAATGTCTGCAGGGAGGACCGGGCCTCATCGTAAACTTTTGTTCTGAATGTAAAATGCTCAAACCACATGATGTGAGCCTTGAACGCTTGAGCAACTCTTTCCCACAGATGAAGGCTGCCTGGTTTAGAGAACCACAAATGAGACAGGCAGAGTTAACTCAGACCACAGGCCTCATTCTACATACGCTCCAGTTTTTCACTGAGTGGGTATTACAAGGATGTCACTTTCTTTTTGTCGTAGTGATTAAACCCAGTGAAGACTATGAAAGCAATCCTTTAACAAATTCACTAATTAACTGCAACAATCATCAGCAGGCAGTCTTATCTGACAGCCATATTACTGCTGTGTGAAATAGAGCGGGTTCCTAACTTTTAGACCACAATCTGTTGTAATATCATCTTCACCACAAGGGAGCAGTTGCCTATAGACCACAAGGGAGCAGTTGCCTAAAGACCACAAGGGAGCAGTTGCCTATAGACAACACAGATGTGAAAACCATGGAAGTTTAAATTAGCCATGACCACTGACAGACCACTGACAAGAGAACAAGGTTTAGTCTGCCTGCCTGCTACACAATAGCCTCCACAGCACCAGAGAAATCACAACTGTTTATCTGTTGTACTGTAAGGAGGATTCCTGAACATAATCTAGAGAACTGAGTGAATCTTTCATTGCAGCCAAGAACATTTAACCGGTTAAGGATCAGACCCTTTTTTTCATTTTCCGCCTAAAATGACATACCCAAATCTAACTGCCTGTAGATCAGGACCTGAAGCAAGGATATACATATTATTGATACCATTTGAAAGGAAACACTTTGAAGTTTGTGGAAATGTGAAATTAATGTAGGAGAATATAACACATTAGATCTAGTAAAAGATAATAAAAACAAAAAAACATGCGTTTTCTATTTATCATCTTTGAAATGCAAGGAAAGGCCACAATATAATATTGCAGTTTAGGCACAATTTAGATTTTGGCCACTAGATGGCAGCAGTGTGCGTGCAAAGTTTCAGATTGATCCAGTGAAGCATTGCAATACTGGACTATTTTGTATCAAGTCTGCCCAAATGTGCCGAATTTATCAATTGATACATTTTGAAGTACATAACTACAGAGAACATACAACAATTATATGGGAATACAAAATGTAAGTTTAACACTCCCAGGAATGTCATACATGATAGATCATTAGCTTATACACTAACTTTCTCATCTAGAAGGCCGGGCGGGGTGGGTGTGGAGCCAGAGACAGCCAGGGTTCAAACTGTAGAACCCAGTTCCTACATTTGAATATAAAAATTGTTTTTATCAAACCAAACTATGCTACATTTTATCTCTGGGACCCTCAGGATGACAAATCAGAGCAAGATTACTGAATGTAAGTACATTATTTACCTTCAGAGGTGAATGTAACATACCAGTTGCCGTGTTAAGTTTTTTGTTGTTGTTCATTCTCCTCAAACAATAGCATGTTATTTTTTCACTTGAATAGCTAATGTAAATTGGACAGTGCAGTTAGATTAACAAGAATTTAAGCTTTCTGCCCATATAAGAGATGTCTATGTCCTGGAAGGTTTGCTGTTACTTAAAACAGTCATGCTAATCACATTAGCGCACGTTAGCTCAACCGATCCCGTAGAGGTTAACACATCTTAGTTGGTAGACAACACATCTTCCGATACTAAGTCACATGATATAATGATGGAAAACAATCTAATTCTGAAACTATTACATAACATTCAATTGAACGCCCTTCTTTTTCCATCACTATGTAAACACTACAACCAGTCAATCACACAGCAATCACCTCACCCTGCAATGAGGAAATGTGACAAATAACTAATTTCCAGCTCTCACCGTTCTCTTGACTCCAAACATGGCATGGGCTTTCGTTAGGATGGGCGGCGATCCATCAGAATCATCCTCATCTTCGTCATCACTACATTCCTCAGAGTCGTGCAGTCTTTGGTCTCCGGCGGTGGTGGCGGTGGGGGCGATGCTCGTAGATTCTGAACGGGTTCTTACTGTAGACCTTAGTGGGAGGACGAGGGTGACGTAAGCTAGTCATCAGGTGGGACACCGCTCTCTCTTCATTCTCCCAACAATTAGCCTGCTCCTTCAATCGCTCAGCCTGGAATTAACACACACAGACAGACACATCAGTCGCTCAGCCTGAAATTAACACACTGAGTGGCACATCAGTCGCTCAGCCTGGAATTAACACACACAGACAGACACATCAGTCGCTCAGCCTGAAATTAACACACTGAGAGGCATATCAGTCGCTCAGCCTGAAATTAACACACTGAGAGGCACATCAGTCGCTCAGCCTGAAATTAACACACACAGACAGACACATCAGTCGCTCAGCCTGAAATTAACACACACAGACAGACACATCAGTCGCTCAGCCTGAAATTAACACACACAGACAGACATACCAGTCGCTCAGCCTGAAATTAACACACAGAGGCACATCAGTCGCTCAGCCTGAAATTAACACAGAGGCACATCAGTCGCTCAGCCTGGAATTAACACACACAGACAGACACATCCGTCGCTCAGCCTGAAATTAACACACTGAGAGGCACATAAGTCGCTCAGCCTGAAATTAACACACTGAGAGGCACATCAGTTGCTCAGCCTGGAATTAACACACAGAGGCACATCAGTCGCTCAGCCTGGAATTAACACACACAGACAGACATCAGTCGCTCAGCCTGAAATTAACACACTGAGAGGCACATCAGTCGCTCAGCCTGGAATTATCACACACAGACAGACATATCAGTCGCTCAGCCTGAAATGAACACAGAGGCACATCAGTCGCTCAGCCTGAAATTAACACACTGAGAGGCACATCAGTCGCTCAGCCTGGAATTAACACACACAGACAGACATCAGTCGCTCAGCCTGAAATTAACACACTGAGAGGCACATCAGTCGCTCAGCCTGAAATTAACACAATGAGAGGCACATCGGTCGCTCAGCCTGAAATTAACACACTGAGAGGCACATCAGTCGCTCAGCCTGAAATTAACACACTGAGAGGCACATCAGTCGCTCAGCCTGAAATTAACACACACAGACAGACACATCAGTCGCTCAGCCTGAAATTAACACACACAGACAGACATACCAGTCGCTCAGCCTGAAATTAACACACAGAGGCACATCAGTCGCTCAGCCTGAAATTAACACAATGAGAGGCACATCGGTCGCTCAGCCTGAAATTAACACACTGAGAGGCACATAAGTCGCTCAGCCTGAAATTAACACACTGAGAGGCACATCAGTTGCTCAGCCTGGAATTAACACACAGAGGCACATCAGTCGCTCAGCCTGGAATTAACACACACAGACAGACATCAGTCGCTCAGCCTGAAATTAACACACTGAGAGGCACATCAGTCGCTCAGCCTGGAATTATCACACACAGACAGACATATCAGTCGCTCAGCCTGAAATGAACACAGAGGCACATCAGTCGCTCAGCCTGAAATTAACACACTGAGAGGCACATCAGTCGCTCAGCCTGGAATTAACACACACAGACAGACACATCAGTCGCTCAGCCTGAAATTAACACACTGAGAGGCACATCAGTCGCTCAGCCTGAAATTAACACAATGAGAGGCACATCGGTCGCTCAGCCTGAAATTAACACACACAGACAGACACATCAGTCGCTCAGCCTGAAATTAACACACACAGAAAGACACATCAGTCGCTCAGCCTGAAATTAACACACACAGACAGACACATCAGTCGCTCAGCCTGAAATTAACACACAGAGGCACATCAGTCGCTCTGCCTGAAATTAACACACAGAGGCACATCAGTCGCTCAGCCTGGAATTAACACACACAGACAGACATATTAGTCGCTCAGCCTGAAATTAACACACTGAGAGGCACATCAGTCGCTCAGCCTGGAATTAACACACTGAGAGGCACATCAGTCGCTCAGCCTGAAATGAACACACTGAGAGGCACATCAGTCGCTCAGCCTGAAATGAACACACAGAGGCAAATCAGTCGCTCAGCCTGAAATTAACACACTGAGAGGCACATCAGTCGCTCAGCCTGAAATTAACACACACAGACATACACATCAGTCGCTCAGCCTGAAATGAACACACAGAGGCACATCAGTCACTCAGCCTGGAATTAACACACACAGACAGACACATCAGTCGCTCAGCCTGGAATTAACACACTGAGAGGCACATCAGTCGCTCAGCCTGGAATTAACACACACACAGACAGACATCAGTCGCTCAGCCTGAAATTAACACACTGAGAGGCACATCAGTCGCTCAGCCTGGAATTAACACACACAGACAGACACATCAGTCGCTCAGCCTGAAATTAACACAATGAGAGGCACATCAGTCGCTCAGCCTGGAATTAACACACTGAGAGGCACATCAGTCGCTCAGCCTGAAATTAACACACAGACATACACATCAGTCGCTCAGCCTGAAATTAACACACAGAGGCACATCAGTCGCTCAGCCAGGAATTAACACACACAGACAGACATCAGTCGCTCAGCCTGAAATTAACACACTGAGAGGCACATCAGTCGCTCAGCCTGGAATTAACACACACAGACAGACACATCAGTCGCTCAGCCTGAAATTAACACACTGAGAGGCACATCAGTCGCTCAGCCTGAAATTAACACACAGAGGCACATCAGTCGCTCAGCCTGGAATTAACACACACAGACAGACACATCAGTCGCTCAGCCTGAAATTAACACACAGACATACACATCAGTCGCTCAGCCTGAAATGAACACACAGAGGCACATCAGTCGCTCAGCCTGAAATTAACACACTGAGAGGCACATCAGTCGCTCAGCCTGAAATTAACACACTGAGAGGCACATCAGTCGCTCAGCCTGAAATTAACACACACAGACATACACATCAGTCGCTCAGCATGAAATTAACACACAGAGGCACATCAGTCACTCAGCCTGGAATTAACACACACAGACAGACACATCAGTCGCTCAGCCTGGAATTAACACACACAGACAGACACATCAGTCGCTCAGCCTGAAATTAACACAATGAGAGGCACATCAGTCGCTCAGCCTGGAATTAACACACTGAGAGGCACATCAGTCGCTCAGCCTGAAATTAACACACAGACATACACATCAGTCGCTCAGCCTGAAATTAACACACTGAGAGGCACATCAGTCGCTCAGCCTGGAATTAACACACACACACAGACAGACATCAGTCGCTCAGCCTGAAATTAACACACACAGACAGACACATCAGTCGCTCAGCCTGAAATTAACACACAGAGGCACATCAGTCACTCAGCCTGGAATTAACACACACAGACAGACACATCAGTCGCTCAGCCTGGAATTAACACACACAGACAGACACATCAGTCGCTCAGCCTGGAATTAACACACACAGACAGACACATCAGTCGCTCAGCCTGAAATTAACACAATGAGAGGCACATCAGTCGCTCAGCCTGGAATTAACACACTGAGAGGCACATCAGTCACTCAGCCTGAAATTAACACACTGAGAGGCACATCAGTCGCTTAGCCTGAAATTAACACACTGAGAGGCACATCAGTCGCTCAGCCTGAAATTAACACACTGAGAGGCACATCAGTCGCTCAGCCTGAAATTAACACACACGGACATACACATCAGTCGCTCAGCCTGAAATTAACACACAGACATACACATCAGTCGCTCAGCCTGAAATTAACACACAGAGGCACATCAGTCGCTCAGCTTGGAATTAACACACACAGACAGACACATCAGTCGCTCAGCCTGAAATTAACACACTGAGAGGCACATCAGTCGCTCAGCCTGAAATTAACACACACAGACACATCAGTCGCTCAGCCTGAAATGAACACACTGAGAGGCACATCAGTCGCTCAGCCTGGAATTAACACACACAGACAGACACATCAGTCGCTCAGCCTGAAATTAACACACTGAGAGGCACATCAGTCGCTCAGCCTGGAATTAACACACACACAGACAGACACATCAGTCGCTCAGCCTGAAATTAACACACAGAGGCACATCAGTCGCTCAGCCTGAAATTAACACACTGACAGACACATCAGTCGCTCAGCCTGAAATTAACACAATGAGAGGCACATCAGTCGCTCAGCCTGGAATTAACACACTGAGAGGCACATCAGTCGCTCAGCCTGAAATTAACACAATGAGAGGCACATCAGTCGCTCAGCCTGGAATTAACACACTGAGAGGCACATCAGTCGCTCAGCCTGAAATTAACACAGAGACATACACATCAGTCGCTCAGCCTGAAATTAACACACAGAGGCACATCAGTCGCTCAGCCAGGAATTAACACACACAGACAGACATCAGTCGCTCAGCCTGAAATTAACACACTGAGAGGCACATCAGTCGCTCAGCCTGGAATTAACACACACAGACAGACACATCAGTCGCTCAGCCTGAAATTAACACACTGAGAGGCACATCAGTCGCTCAGCCTGAAATTAACACACAGAGGCACATCAGTCGCTCAGCCTGGAATTAACACACACAGACAGACACATCAGTCGCTCAGCCTGAAATTAACACACAGACATACACATCAGTCGCTCAGCCTGAAATTAACACACAGAGGCACATCAGTCGCTAAGCCTGGAATTAACACACACAGACAGACATCAGTCGCTCAGCCTGAAATTAACACACTGAGAGGCACATCAGTCGCTCAGCCTGGAATTAACACACACAGACAGACACATCAGTCGCTCAGCCTGAAATTAACACACTGAGAGGCACATCAGTCGCTCAGCCTGAAATTAACACACTGAGAGGCACATCAGTCGCTCAGCCTGAAATGAACACACAGAGGCACATCAGTCGCTCAGCCTGAAATTAACACACTGAGAGGCACATCAGTCGCTCAGCCTGAAATGAACACACAGAGGCACATCAGTCGCTCAGCCTGAAATTAACACACTGAGAGGCACATCAGTCGCTCAGCCTGAAATTAACACACTGAGAGGCACATCAGTCGCTCAGCCTGAAATTAACACACACAGACATACACATCAGTCGCTCAGCCTGAAATTAACACACTGAGAGGC